GGAGGCAGTATGACCTCTGAAACGTTGGTTAACTCGACCAGACTACACAGCGCAACAACCCAGAAGACGGAAATCTTCATACTCACCGCTGTGAGAACCTCAAGTCTTACATAACTTTTATATGCACTGGGAAACCAAAAAATTCGTGTGACTCGTTTTATTGCGGTGTTACCGAACGCGCAATATCTCCGAGGTATTCCTGTACAGTCTGCATGCCCATGTTCTGTATCTTTACCCATTTTATTATTGCATAGGAACAGCCGTTCAGCTATTCGGATAAAAGAATTGTGTGTTTCTCCGTCAAGGTTTGAAACACTGGATCATCCACTTTCGTTCGGTAATTCTTTCAGTCTGTTTTTCGTTAGAAACAGATTCGGAATTGTCAGCTGTTCATAGGATTTTGGTTGCTGCACCAACAGCTTTCGTTGACATCACTGTTGATATTTCTTTATAAGAACGTCTACTGTGGTGGTGACATTTCCTGGTCGGCCGTCTCCCATCCTTGTGCTACGCTAGGTAGACAGACGGGCTGGCGTCAAATAGGCTCCTCGAAAAGATGACAGCTTCCTTTCTCGAATTTGTGCGTGCTTATGCGTGAGTATAAAGTGTCTTCTTCCTTCTATTTTTATTTTCCGATACAACGAGAGGAAATTGTAGGAGTTCGCACGGAGGCCGGATTGTAATGAAAAACAGTCCACCAGCCATTCGGAGGAAATGTGAAAAATTTTCTACACTAAAATAATTTTTGTGTCGTTGTTTATGCTGGATTTGTACTCCGGTCTTAATCCACACTAAAATTTTATTTGTATTACTACATTTATAATAATTATAATTATAATGCTGAGCGCCTACATGGCACGTAGCGGGATAGCTTTTAAAAAAACCTTCTGCTACAACCGGGTTTCGATCTTCACAATTTCTGTATGCAGATGGTAACTGAGCTGTCGTGTTATTTTATCTGTTCCATTATTAATTTTCTTCTAAAGTACGCGCTGAAAGGATAAAATAGTGTTTAAGTGTCGTTTCATAATCGCGTATCTGCCGATTATAATTACATTTTGTCTGGCCTGGTGGCGAGACGTTTTCTGATTTTTACGTTTGGTTTGGCAGGAACTGTTCCCGTCTGATACCAGAATTCGTGCTGTATTGGTATTTGTTATATTGAATGAGAGGAAGAGAGATTGGATATAAGGCCAGTGGCTTAGATGAGAATGTTGGCTACGGTTGGTTGCTGGGGTGAAATTGAGGGGTTGGTTCCGCTATAAATCAGGAGGTAGCAAGGGTTGGGATGCCCTGACTGCGTGCCTGCCTCCTTCACGTGTTCTTTTCAACCCCTCGCATTCAAGGGCTCGGGATTTGGGTTCCACGTCCTTGTCATTCCTTCAAACACGGCGTAGAAGATTTCAATTATGTGGTAAGAATTAATGTGATTTAAACGTTATTTTTAAAATGTTATGTTTAATTCTACTTCAGTAAGAAAACGCATTAAGTGTTTATGAATTGTGTGTGGTATTAACATTTGCTGTTTTCTTATATAGATGAGGGATTTTCTGTTTGATGTGATGTGTGCACTGATTATGCAGTGGACTGAGGGCAAGGAGACGACTTATTTTAACTGCTGGTAATGTTGACAGATTTTAATGGAGTTTGGTATAGACGGAATGAAGCCATCACACATTATCTGCGCATGCGGATTAGTAACCGAAACAAATACGGCCTAATCGAATCTAACTTAACCTAATCTCGTCAGAAGTGAATTCCGTCTTTGCGCATTTCATAACCAGAGAGTGGTTGAACGGAAATTAATGATATTTAGGGTGGGGTTTCTGCCAGATGTGACTAATGAAAACTTATAAATTGTAACTTATTCATTCGGTAATGCCAATAAGACAGTCGCTTGAATTAGTGAATTGAAATGATGACTACTACCCATGATTGTCTGTGAATGAGCGTTCCTGACCTACAAAGCCCATCCCAACCTCTTCACAGGTGGCCACTGCAAACTATGCATTCCAGTGCGGTCGGTTTTAGAGCGAAGTGTTAAAATGTCTGAAACAGTGAGTTACTAATTAGTGTAGTCAGCAAGCACTGTTTCAGACATTTTAATTGCCAGGACTCAGCCGATGCGAGAGAGAGAGAGAGGGGGAGAGGGGAAGAGGGGGGGGGGTGATGATAATTCCGTCTTTGCGCATTTCATAACCAGAGAGTGGTTGAACGGAAATTAATGATATTTAGGGTGGGATTTCTGCCAGATGTGACTAATGAAAACTTATAAATTGTAACTTATTCATTCGGTAATGCCAATAAGACAGTCGCTTGAATTAGTGAATTGAAATGATGACTACTACCCATGATTGTCTGTGAATGAGCGTTCCTGACCTACAAAGCCCATCCCAACCTCTTCACAGGTGGCCACTGCAAACTATGCATTCCAGTGCGGTCGGTTTTAGAGCGAAGTGTTAAAATGTCTGAAACAGTGAGTTACTAATTAGTGTAGTCAGCAAGCACTGTTTCAGACATTTTAATTGCCAGGACTCAGCCGATGCGAGAGAGAGAGAGAGCGTGAGAGGGGAAGATGGGGGGGGGTGATGATAGTTGGGGGGGGGAGCCAAAGTGAAACAAGTTCCAATGCTGGTTTTTAGACGTGGTGACAGCGTAGCTGCAGGTCTGATGGAAAACATTTACCATTAATTGCACCGATATAGCATTACAAAGGGCGTATATTGACGTTACAGTGCACTTCGGATTGTAGTTGAAATATTTCTATTTAAAATGTATCCACTGTCCTGATGACTCACAACTACCAATTTGAGAGTCGTACCATATAGAAACGAATAAGAGAAATTCACTCTGCAAAAATACTTCTCTTTTTTCCTCTTGGTTGTACAGTTGTTGTAGAACCCAGGCCGCCTCTTGTAGGCGACGTTTCGAAACCGCGTTTTTCGATATTTGGAAAGGCAACTTGGACGGGGAGTCAGCCCGTCAGAAAGTCCTTACCTACACGGGACAGCACAATATATAAAATGACGACACATTTATGCTACGGGCAGGATTTGAACCACTATCCAGTGTCCAAACGGCCAAGAGCTACTTCCTCATTTGGTGCTGTCTGTTCTTTCAGATGTCCTGACACCGGGCCGCACAGGGGCAGCAGGATGACAGCTCCTGACGAGGACTATGGGCGGCGGGAAAGACTGCTGTTGCACCACCCCCATCAGTACCCGCCCCCTGGTCCGACACCATCACCCGGGGCTGGAGAGCGGTACATACCACCACCCTCTCCCGCACAGGGCCACAGTGGTAGTGGCGCTGGAGAGCGTTATATACCAGCCCCGACGCCACCCCCGGGGGATCGTTACATCCCTCCACCAGCCCCGGCACCCGGCGACCGCTATCTTCCATCGAACGAGCGTTACCACCAAAGTTCCTCGACAGGTGATAGGTACCTGGAGCCTTCGGGTGCTGGGGACCGCTATTTGCCACCTGCCGCCGCCCCTGGAGATAGGTATCTTCCAACCCCTTCCAGTGTTACAAGTGACCGGTACCTATCGCCACCAGCTCCAGCACCTGGGGAGCGATACCTGCCCCCTTCTGCGCCGGCACCAGATGAGAGATACCTGCCCCCGCCGTCACCAGCGACACCCGGAGGACCTGGCGACCCTTACATGCGTCGTGATTTGGGATACCACCATCATTACCGGCTGCC